GAAGTCCCGGCCGGAACGCTGACATACCGGGAGAGGTTGAGGAACGTCAGCGTGTACCTGATGCCCAGGGAATGCAATCCATCCAGATCCCCAACGGAATATGGGCAGAATACGTCGATCGCAAGGAGCCTCGACAACAGCCGCCTGTGGATGTCGGTCAAGGAATATGGCGTCGTGTGCGTAGACGGATGGTTGTTATCCGATTGGTGTTCGGGAAGAAACGTGGCCATCAATTCCTAAGGGAATTGGTGTCAACGGCCAGCTGCTCGCAGTTTTCGGTCTTACCCCAATATAGCTGCCAGCAATTCGCAGACGGCACATCGCACGCACGAGGGCATACACTATTTATGTCACCTCCTTACAGCCATGTTGTCGGCCGCCACCTCGTTGGCTGTCGATGGCGGCGCACAAGCAGCGGAAGCAGCGGCAGTCTCTGATGCCTTCGTCCTGGCTGCGCGTTGACCCTCCTTGTGAATCTTCACCTTGCACTCCTGTCCGACCTCCGACGCTTCATCCGCGGAGTAGCAGCGTTGACGCTTGTGAATCTTCTGATTGAACTCTTCGACCTTCGACGCGGCATCCTCTCTTAACTGCTTCTCCTTGCTGATGAGGATCTCGGGGAACGACTCCATAGCCTCGTACTTCTTCATCTCCTGATTCAATCCAAAAACATCATTTTTTACGTGGTGTGAAGGGCGTCGTGGGTGACGGCGTTTCCAACATGACGATCGCGAAATAAGCGTGCTACAAGTACCGCAACGACCTAACTGGATGGGATACTTCCTGCCACGGCGAAACATAGTACAATGCGATGCAAACATCCGTTCGTGTGTCGCGCGACTGCCACATGTGTCGACGACAGGTACACGTAGAGCTCTCGCCATGCTGTCGTTACCGCGCAGGAGGACCCCTCGTAGATGTTCCACATGGTGCTATTACAACGACAGCAGTACTACTGTACATAGATGTCGTAGGAGAGTGGAGTTGTGCTGTCACGGCATCTCCCACGCACTCTCCTACCGGTGCTTGTGTCGATTGGAGTCTTGTAGGCCGAAATACAAGAGTGGGTTGGACTCCCGGGTTGTGGAAGCAAACCTGCCTGCAACAACAGAGAAGGCGGTGTTCTATTTACTATAATAGAGTATCCCGCTCAATTTTTTTTTTTTTTCGCGGCATGTGGTCGCACTGTAGTTTGTTTTTCTTTGGAGAGTGAGGAGTGCGGCGGAAGCAGGCTCGCGTTGAGGATGCATACGGACGGGGACGTTGTCTCGTTATGGCCCATAAGAACGTGAAGTTTTCGATAGATGGCGGCCAAGGACCGTGAGAGTTGGGACGACACCCACAGGAAGGAACGGAGTCAGGAAACCATTGCAATCGACCTCAAAAAGATTTTGGGCCGTGTGTATGCATGTCGGAGATCGAGAGGAAACCGTCCCTGTGCTTGTGCTCTGTAAGGCGTACCGTACGTCGTTTCGGGACTAGGCGTGCGAGGACGCGTGAGAGGAATTTTCCCGTCTGACGTTTTTTTGCCGTCACGAATCACTGCGTAGCTTGTTTTATGGATACTACTATGGTGTTAGATGAGACGAGACGAAGTTGGTCGGCTTGCCTGATTGTTGTTTCGTCCTTTTTCGTGTGTTCGGGTACATGCTTGCGAGCATGTAAATGTATATGGCCATCCTTTCCTTGAAGAGTATGCAGAAGAGGGAGCACTGGACACCGCTGCGGATGCTAGAAGCTACCGAGCACAGACAGGAGGAACCCTTAAATGTGAAGACGACCACAGAGGTAGAAGCAAGCCAAAGGGCATCGTCCGTGCCGGCGGGTAGGGTGTACTCATAGTCGTGCATGCCGTATTCGTTTGGCCATTGAACTCGTACCGGGGGGGGGGGCGTGCCGAAGGCTAGACTGGCATGAGAAGAGGCAGAACAAAGAATTCCATTTCGATCAACTGGTAGAACATAAATCATCACCGAGGAGGACCGGGGGATTGAACGTCGACCGGGACGGGAAATTGAGTTTGGGGGTCGTTCTTTCTCGGCCAGCAGCTCTTCTGGCCGTCTGGAGGAGGGGAGGGGGGGCAGGGACTCAATGAAATGGCGGTCCCCGAAGGACTGGGGGTCCAACGGGGATGGAGCTGCAGCAGCTGGTACTGGCGTCCTCAGTTCAGCCTGAGGTCGCTGTTGTCGATCGGGCAAAGACAACCGCACGACCAATCATAAGGTCTCCATGACAATGTACCGGCGCACGCAACACAAAAGCTTCGAACATGATACGCCGCCGCGCCTTGGCTTGGCAGCATGATTCTATATACCAAAAAACTCCGTCAACAACCCACGTCGCAACGCCTACAGGTCCTAGCTCCATTCTAGAGCTACCTACGCGTCACCGCAACATCAACACACGACCGCACACACAGCGCTCGCCAATTTTCCGGGGGCCTGCAAGCCCCTCATGCAGCCTTGCAGCCCTGTCCCCCACCTACGTTTGGTTTAACTACTGCTGGTGCCTTGATATACTGTTTTGACACCGCGCTATGTCAAAACGAATCACAAGCTACACACGTAAATCTACGTTTGTGAGTCTAAGGCAGTTCTACTTTGCTCCAGGCATACTCAAGCAACGCCGGCCCTCGGACAAAGGGTACAACCCAGCGCGTTATGAAGGAAAGGGGGTGCGCAACCCTGCCTGTCATTTTCTTGCATGGATCTACGGAAAATGAAAGAAAATGCTCTAGGAAATCTCGCCCTTCCACCATTTTTGGATTCCGAGTGCAGCATTCTAAAATTTGGGCCCGACGCAGGCAGACGCCCCTCTTCTCAACATGTTGAGGTTTCTAAGTATGGGTCCAGCACACGATGACTCTCCTCCTGAAGAAGCGTAAGAGGCAGGTTTAATTAACTCCTGGCCCCCTCGAGGGCGGCCACGCATTCCGACACGGGCTTCCCCTCGCGGAAGGCCTTCATGATCGACTTTAGCTCCGGGTCGTGGCTGGACAGCAGCCTGTGCGCCATCAGCGTCGCCCACCTGATGATGTGATTGGTCGGTCGGCGGTAAGCGAGTGCGGGGGGACGGCGGGAGAGGTTTATGAGCGAAACCGCAAACACAAAACGAATCCGACAAGAGACAGACACGAAGAGGAGACCAAACACCCGAAAGCAACAGCATCTCCCAGAGAGAAATAACCCAGCCTTACTGCGGAGCCAGGAAGACTCTCACCATATTCTTCCGCTGCTTTGTCAGCATCGATTTTTCCTGTTCCCTGAAACCCGTGGTGCGCTGGCCGAAGACAAACAAGCCGCTAAAAATGATCCTAGAATACATCGAGAGAGAGAGAGTTGCGAGGTTCCTCCCCCCACTCCACCCCCCCCTCTCTCTCTCTCTCTCGCTTGGAGTGTGTTCCTCTCTCCCTTAGTTCAGCCCATCTCGCCCCACCCTCCCTCTTTCTTGCCCCGTCACCCCCGCCCCTCCAACCTCCTTCTTCTCATTTCCTCGGCGTGAGACAGCCTGCCCTCAACTCAAGGCAAGCCCCCCCCCCCCCCCCTTCTCTAGGCGCCAAAACAACCCCTTTGTTATCAAAAGC